AACAAGCTGAATGATGAAAACTGTACGACGGACCGCAGCGTCTCTGGGCAACAGGAAGCGCTCATTATTTCAGGCCAAAGAGAGCGAGAAACTGAGGGAGGAGCGCGAGATGAAATACATTTGACAAGAGTTTATCTCATCTGAAGACAACAGGATGCCGCTCTCCTCATGAACGGCTGAAGGCGATCCAAGACTGCTTCATGTTTGATAAGAGGAGACAAGGTCACAGACTGTTGCTAAGCAGCTCAAAAGCAGTGCGGCTCTCTGGGGAGAGCAATGAATAGTCACACTGATGGTGGAGAGGAGCTTTGACAGCTGCTGGGAGCCAAACTAAAGAGACGAGTGTGTGCGCAGTCTGTACGACGGACCGCAGCGTCTCTGGGCAACAGGAAGCGCTCATTATTTCAGGCCAAAGAGAGCGAGAAACTGAGGGAGGAGCGCGAGATGAAATACATTTGACAAGAGTTTATCTCATCTGAAGACAACAGGATGCCGCTCTCCTCATGAACGGCTGAAGGCGATCCAAGACTGCTTCATGTTTGATAAGAGGAGACAAGGTCACAGACTGTTGCTAAGCAGCTCAAAAGCAGTGCGGCTCTCTGGGGAGAGCAATGAATAGTCACACTGATGGTGGAGAGGAGCTTTGACAGCTGCTGGGAGCCAAACTAAAGAGACGAGTGTGTGCGCAGTGCTGACACCACAGCTGAAACACTGCTGGTCCTTCGGCTTGATTTTCCCAAAGTCACAGTGATCAGAAGTGTCATATTCACACACTAAACAAACAGTCCTGCTGGACCATATATATATATATATATATATATATATATATAATTGTAGGAATTAAATGAACTCTTGTTTTACATACTATTAATTGAAAAATTGAAAACAGAAATATCTGCTAATTCACAGTGACAATAATTTGGTCTGTTCAGTGTTATTTTAGTATTACTTACTATTATACTATTTAATAATATTTTAATGACCTTTTATTTTCCTATTTTTAAGTAACTAAGAAAGTTTTTATGTGTGTTTTCTCGTTTTTATTTGCTTTTGTCATTTTTATTTTAATATCAATTTAATTTTAGCAATTGTAATAATTTTAGCAATTTAGTCATTTTAAGCGTAACATTTCTCATTTTCATTTAAGTTTTCAAGTTTAAGTTACCTTCATTCTAAATCAAATTTCCATTCAATTTAGAGCCAAACTGAAGAATGCATCGAAGGCAAACAAACATCTATTTTTCTCTGGATCAGATTATGCATGCACGCAGGGAACAAGCTGAATGATGAAAACTGTACGACGGACCGCAGCGTCTCTGGGCAACAGGAAGCGCTCATTATTTCAGGCCAAAGAGAGCGAGAAACTGAGGGAGGAGCGCGAGATGAAATACATTTGACAAGAGTTTATCTCATCTGAAGACAACAGGATGCCGCTCTCCTCATGAACGGCTGAAGGCGATCCAAGACTGCTTCATCTTTATTCTCTTTTTCTGTGCCGGTGTCAGCTGACCAGGTCTTTTCTGCGCGTGCCTTGACAGGAAGTAGAAAACAGGATTCTTCATTCTAAATCAAATTTCCATTCAATTTAGAGCCAAACTGAAGAATGCATCGAAGGCAAACAAACATCTATTTTTCTCTGGATCAGATTATGCATGCACGCAGGGAACAAGCTGAATGATGAAAACTGTACGACGGACCGCAGCGTCTCTGGGCAACAGGAAGCGCTCATTATTTCAGGCCAAAGAGAGCGAGAAACTGAGGGAGGAGCGCGAGATGAAATACATTTGACAAGAGTTTATCTCATCTGAAGACAACAGGACGCCGCTCTCCTCATGAACGGCTGAAGGCGATCCAAGACTGCTTCATGTTTGATAAGAGGAGACAAGGTCACAGACTGTTGCTAAGCGATTAAATTATGCTTTTTTAAAAATTAAGTTATTTTTTTAATTAAATATTTTATTTTTAGCTGCTGTAGAAATAGAAGTCTTAATTACTTTTAGTATTCTTTATTATTTTATTTCAGTTAATTTTACTTTAAGTAATGAAAATGTATTTTTTATTGTTAAATAAAACAAATTTTAAGCATTTATTTTTAGTTAACGATAATAAATCTGGTCTCACCTTTCAATTAAACTAGCCGCTGTAGAAATAGAAGTCTAGCTTTTATTAATTTTTGAACTAGTTTTAGTTTCCTATTTTCATTAAATTTTGTTTAGATTTTAATAAATATTTTAGTAATGTTTTATTATTTTTGCTAAGTATGTCTATATAGCATTGTTATATATACAGTATATATACATATTTATTTATATAGATACATTTATTTATTTATTTTTTACATTTTATTCACTTAATGTTTATTATTTTATTACAAGTATGTATGCATGTATGTATATATTTATTTATTTGTTTGTTTGTAGGTTTTATTTTCAGTTAACAGCAGCTAGCCTGGGTCCTGCCTTTCAGGTCTTTATGCCCATGACATTCACACCTCCACTCGTTTTCAATTTTAGGTCAACTACTCCTTTCAGCCTGATTCTCTTTTTCTGTGCCGGTGTCAGCTGACCAGGTCTTTTCTGCGCGTGCCTTGACAGGAAGTAGAAAACAGGATTCTTCATTCTAAATCAAATTTCCATTCAATTTAGAGCCAAACTGAAGAATGCATCGAAGGCAAACAAACATCTATTTTTCTCTGGATCAGATTATGCATGCACGCAGGGAACAAGCTGAATGATGAAAACTGTACGACGGACCGCAGCGTCTCTGGGCAACAGGAAGCGCTCATTATTTCAGGCCAAAGAGAGCGAGAAACTGAGGGAGGAGCGCGAGATGAAATACATTTGACAAGAGTTTATCTCATCTGAAGACAACAGGATGCCGCTCTCCTCATGAACGGCTGAAGGCGATCCAAGACTGCTTCATGTTTGATAAGAGGAGACAAGGTCACAGACTGTTGCTAAGCAGCTCAAAAGCAGTGCGGCTCTCTGGGGAGAGCAATGAATAGTCACACTGATGGTGGAGAGGAGCTTTGACAGCTGCTGGGAGCCAAACTAAAGAGACGAGTGTGTGCGCAGTGCTGACACCACAGCTGAAACACTGCTGGTCCTTCGGCTTGATTTTCCCAAAGTCACAGTGATCAGAAGTGTCATATTCACACACTAAACAAACAGTCCTGCTGGACCATATATATATATATATATATAATTGTAGGAATTAAATGAACTCTTGTTTTACATACTATTAATTGAAAAATTGAAAACAGAAATATCTGCTAATTCACAGTGACAATAATTTGGTCTGTTCAGTGTTATTTTAGTATTACTTACTATTATACTATTTAATAATATTTTAATGACCTTTTATTTTCCTATTTTTAAGTAACTAAGAAAGTTTTTATGTGTGTTTTCTCGTTTTTATTTGCTTTTGTCATTTTTATTTTAATATCAATTTAATTTTAGCAATTGTAATAATTTTAGCAATTTAGTCATTTTAAGCGTAACATTTCTCATTTTCATTTAAGTTTTCAAGTTTAAGTTACTCATCTAATATTTACTGTATATTTTAATTTATTTCAGCTTTATTTCAATGACAGAAACAATTGTATTTGTTATTATATTATATATTACATTATAATAGTGTGTAAATTATACAAGGATTATATATTATATTATATGTGGCTTTTGTCATTTTTATTAATTATTATTACTTTTTTGTTTTGTTTTGTAATTGTTTATTTATTTATTTATTTTCTTATACATAGATGAAATACATTTGACAAGAGTTTATCTCATCTGAAGACAACAGGATGCCGCTCTCCTCATGAACGGCTGAAGGCGATCCAAGACTGCTTCATCTTTGATAAGAGGAGACAAGGTCACAGACTGTTGCTAAGCAGCTCAAAAGCAGTGCGGCTCTCTGGGGAGAGCAATGAAGAGTCACACTGATGGTGGAGAGGAGCTTTGACAGCTGCTGGGAGCCAAACTAAAGAGACGAGTGTGTGCGCAGCGCTGACACCACAGCTGAAACACTGCTGGTCCTTCGGCTTGATTTTCCCAAAGTCACAGTGATCAGAAGTGTCATATTCACACATGTTATTATATTATATATTACATTATAATAGTGTGTAAATTATACAAGGATTATATATTATATTATATGTGGCTTTTGTCATTTTTATTAATTATTATTATTATTACTTTTTTGTTTTGTTTTGTAATTGTTTATTTATTTATTTTCTTATACATATTTCTTATATTAATTTTTATTCATTCATTCTCTTTCTTTCTTTAATAAAAGCTAATTAGGTGCTTTAGTGCTTTAACTTATTCATCCAGTTGGCTGTCAAAGCATCATTTCTAATATTAAATGTTTTATCAAGTTTTTAAGCATTTATTTTTAGTTAACGATAATAAATCTGGTCTCACCTTTCAATTAAACTAGCCGCTGTAGAAATAGAAGTCTAGCTTTTATTAATTTTTGAACTAGTTTTAGTTTCCTATTTTCATTAAATTTTGTTTAGATTTTAATAAATATTTTAGTAATGTTTTATTATTTTTGCTAAGTATGTCTATATAGCATTGTTATATATACAGTATATATACATATTTATTTATATAGATACATTTATTTATTTATTTATTTTTTACATTTTATTCACTTAATGTTTATTATTTTATTACAAGTATGTATGCATGTATGTATATATTTATTTATTTGTTTGTTTGTAGGTTTTATTTTCAGTTAACAGCAGCTAGCCTGGGTCCTGCCTTTCAGGTCTTTATGCCCATGACATTCACCACATCAACCTGAAAACTATAGTTTTATTGAGAATCCGAGCTCAAGAAGCTGAATTTATGAGACCACGTGCATCAAATTACAAAATACTACTAATTTGATGTGTTTTCAGGGTTCTCACACTTTTTGAGTTGCCATCATTTTTCCAGGATCATTCACGACGAGCAGTACTTTCACAGTATGTCTGTGTGGCTCCGCCCACTCACCTCCCACTGGCCCTGCTGTGATTGGCTCTTGAGCTGAATGAGCCAGTCCTCGCTGTCGGCCTCGGCGCAGTGGTGCATGGTGATGATGACGGGTCGGGTCAGGAGAGCTCCAGCAGGACCGCAGCTGACCACCGGACTCAGGGCCGTCTCCTGTGTGTCGTCCACCTGCGGCCTGAACACACACACACATTACATTATAATAGTGTGTAAATTATACAAGGATTATATATTATATTATATGTGGCTTTTGTCATTTTTATTAATTATTATTACTTTTTTGTTTTGTTTTGTAATTGTTTATTTATTTATTTATTTTCTTATACATATTTCTTATATTAATTTTTATTCATTCATTCTCTTTCTTTCTTTAATAAAAGCTAATTAGGTGCTTTAGTGCTTTAACTTATTCATCCAGTTGGCTGTCAAAGCATCATTTCTAATATTAAATGTTTTATCAAGTTTGTATGTTTATTAATTCATTTATTAATGTAACATTAATATTTTATTTTATTTCAGCCTCATTTCATTTAATGAGAGAGAAAAAAAAAAGTTTTACTTTTAATTAAGAATAACAACACTGAGTTTGTCACTGCAAAAGAGTATCAGTGTAAATTATACAAGGATTATATATTATATTATATGTGGCTTTTGTCATTTTTATTAATTATTATTACTTTTTTGTTTTGTTTTGTAATTGTTTATTTATTTATTTATTTTCTTATACATATTTCTTATATTAATTTTTATTCATTCATTCTCTTTCTTTCTTTAATAAAAGCTAATTAGGTGCTTTAGTGCTTTAACTTATTCATCCAGTTGGCTGTCAAAGCATCATTTCTAATATTAAATGTTTTATCAAGTTTGTTTGTTTATTAATTCATTTATTAATGTAACATTAATATTTTATTTTATTTCAGCCTCATTTCATTTAATGAGAGAGAAAAAAAAAAGTTTTACTTTTAATTAAGAATAACAACACTGAGTCCTGCAAAAGAGTATCAAACGGTGCTACCAATAGTCTACTACAGCGATCATGATTGTGCCACAATATTCTTGAAGTAGCACAGAGCTCCATCTGAATACCACGGTGAATGAATACGGTTCTCATTCAGTCCCAGTGTACGCATCTGAGAGCCCCTGACCGTAGTGCGTCTGTCTGTCTGTCTGTCTGTCTGTCTGTGAGTGAGTTGCTTTGAGGACGAGGGCTAATGAACTGGCCAGCACTGTGTTTGCGTGTGATAATAATAATAATAGAGGACAGTTCACAGCTACGCCCTCCACTCGCTCACATAACCACCTGCTCCTGGTTAATGACGAGGCCAGTTCAGCCTCATTTCATTTAATGAGAGAGAAAAAAAAAAGTTTTACTTTTAATTAAGAATAACAACACTGAGTCTGTCACTGCAAAAGAGTATCAAACGGTGCTACCAATAGTCTACTACAGCGATCATGATTGTGCCACAATATTCTTGAAGTAGCACAGAGCTCCATCTGAATACCACGGTGAATGAATACGGTTCTCATTCAGTCCCAGTGTACGCATCTGAGAGCCCCTGACCGAAGTGCGTCTGTCTGTCTGTCTGTCTGTCTGTCTGTGAGTGAGTTGCTTTGAGGACGAGGGCTAATGAACTGGCCAGCACTGTGTTTGCGTGTGATAATAATAATAATAGAGGACAGTTCACAGCTACGCCCTCCACTCGCTCACATAACCACCTGCTCCTGGTTAATGACGAGGCCAGTGGGTGGCTGCTATCACAAACTCGTCCCGCATGCAGCGGCCGTCTGGCTGATAACAGGCTGCTCTTCTTCCTAATTAACTGAGGGTTTGTGTTGAGCAGGACCCGCGGGTCGTCCGGTCTGATTTTTGGGCAGCAGCGAGCGTCCCGGCCGTCTGATATCCAACAGGACACCGGCCGGATCTCCGCAGGGGGTCACACGCATTACGCATGTAAACACATCACGCTCACACAAACAGACCAGAGCAACACGTCTGACCTCGGCTGCTTCAGTCCAATCAAAGTCAAAACAGACGCGGGATATTAATAGAAAAACCAGTGCAACAAGTCTGCTGTGGAAATGGAAGGCTTCGCTAGTTTTTATTAGTATTTTAATTTTATAGTTTATTTTGTAAATAATATTTTCTCATTTTTGTATGTCTAAATTTTTTAATTATTTCAGTATTATACATGCATACACACATTATATATATATATATACATAGCTGAAATAAAGTTAGTTCACATTTAGAAATGACAATTTATATAAATTATTCCAAGTAACGATAAAAAAAATAAAAATAAATATATATATATATATATATATATATATATATATATTAAAATTATATT